TTTACATTTATTTTTAATGTAGTTAAGTAAAAAGAGTCCATTTCTTTTTTTTTAAGTGTGTACTTTTCATGCCTTATTCTGAATGTATTAAGAAATGGTCTCTCTATAATTGCACTTTTATCATGTAGCTTTATCACCGGTTATTGGCTTCAAATGTTTGTATATGATGTTACATTGTGAGGGTGATGTACAGAGGGTGCAAGCCCCGCCGGTGAAGATGAAGGCTTCGAGGGCACCCTGATGCGAAAACACGAATGGGAGTCTGGCACCAAGCGCGCTTCTAACAGGTCAGAACACTGAATAATACATAGAATTTGATCAAAATTTCAAGTACCTTATTAAAGGTTTTATTTTTGGTCTGACCTTTATAAAAGTAAAAATTAGTTGATATTACCATGAAAAGTCAGTTTTTTTGTAGTATATATATTTTTGTTCGTTGTCAGATCATGGGACAAGGTGTACGCGGTGGCGAAAGACGGGCGCATGTCGTTCTACAAGGACCAGAAGTCGTTCCGCGCGGCGCCCGAGCAGACGTGGCGCGGGGAGCCGCCGCTCGACCTCACCGGCGCAGTCGTAGAGGTCGCCGCCAACTACACCAAGAAGAAGCACGTCTTCCGGCTCAGGTCAGCTGATACACACACGTACATCCACCTCGTCGAATCTTCAGCAATTTTGTTAAAAAATTGAGATTTTTCGTCATTACAATTGACCTGTTACACTTGTTGTGATTGAAGTGACATGCAAGTAATACATGTACATGTACTCGCAGGCTGGGCAGCGGCGCGGAGTTCCTGCTGCAGGCGCACGACGAGGCGGAGATGGGGGCGTGGCTGGGCGCGCTGGCGGCCCGCCTGGCCGCGCCCGCGCCGCGCTCGCACACGCTGCCCGCGCCCTCCGCCGAGCCCAAGCGCCGCTCCTTCTTCACGCTCAAGAAGAAGTCAGTGCAAACGCTCACATTCTTCTACTCACCCTAGAGCTCTAGACCATTGCATGCGCAAGTCAGTTTATACTCTTACACCCCCACCCCCAACCCCACCCCTTCTTCAAACTATCTGGATTTCTTTTTCTTCTTTCTCTTTTATTTATCTGTCTTTGTCTCTATCTCTTTTTCACCAAATCACTTTTGATGTTATCAGTTTTTCTACTTCTTTTTCATAGTTACGAATGTATATTCTATGGTCCAGGACCATAATTAGGATTATGATCCGTGATTACAGTATCTTTGTAACTATTTAATCATATCCCTTTCTATTCTTTTTTTAATTCAAATTTATAAAGTTAAATTTTATTTGAATGTGTATTTTAGTATTTTTTTATGTCGTTTATTTTGTCTCAAGATGTTCAAATATTTAGTATTAAAGTGTATAAACTTATTCATTCATTTGCTTCATCATTTTACATACAATCATAATAATGCATGAAAGTTGCATGATTGCATGAGATATTGCATGTTTAATATGATCAATGTCAATTTTTAGTGTTGCCATTATGTGACATATAGAATATACTATATAGTTTTTATTTGTACATAAGTTATTTTTACACTTGTATTATATTTTTATCAGTTAAGTCTTCAAATCTGTACGCGACAATTAAATCAAAAATACAATTTTTGATTAATGGATTACAGATTAGATAATTTATTTTTATTTTTGTTTGTATCAAAGTTACATATGTTAAAGTTTTTAACACTTAAGAATTTTATTTATTTTTTTATTAAACGTTACTATTTTAATACAGATAAATATATACTTATTATTCTTATTTATATAAGAAAAATTTTCATTATATTTTCTTTTTATATACTCTTTACACATATCTTTTTGGATTTATGTGTGTTTTACATTTGTTCGATGTTGGTTTTTTTTTTTCGTTAATCCTTTACGTATTTTCGTGTTCTACTTGTTTCGATATGACATTAAAGCTTGCATTTCTTTATCAACTTGCATGACAGTTTGAAGCCTTTTAATCATGCTTAAATTGTTTGTCATGCTAAATTATAGATTTTCATTATTAAGACATGAATAAAAACATATTGTCATCTCTCTCATATTGCTTAAAGAAAAGAGAAACAATATGTTTTGTACTGTTTCTACAAGAAACGCGTTTGGTGACTTGGTTAATTTCTTCTTTTGTTTTTAATATTTGTTGATGCTCAATTTTCTTATTTCAATAAGAAAATATGCAAGCATTATTCAATTGTTGGACTTTTGAAGCGGAAAAGACCTTTTTCTGCCTGTTGCAATTACTGCAATAGTTTTTTTTTATATAAAATACAGAAAATAACCACTGTCTGTCTTTTCTTATTGAAGAATTTAATTTGAAGAAAATAAATCCAAGGCCTATTATGATATTTTACATTCTGATTTTTTATACTTTTTGGTGATTAACAAGTGATTTTTTTTTATATTAATACGTTTGATTAATGAACGTTTTTTTTACTATTGTTAATGTTTACTAACAATATCTGGGCCTATAGTCGGTTATCGGTTAAGGAACATAATCTAGATTTATTACTTTGCTATTTGCATTATTCTAGTAAATTAGGTATTTATCTTAGGACAAAATCGCCAGGAATTTCTACTTTTTACATTTATGAGTCGTTTTAACTTAATCAATGACCGACTGTTTTATCTATGTTGTGTATTTTCAGCACTAGTTGTCGCCTGCGACTTCGTTCGCGCGAACTAAAGTAATTTAGTAGTCTATATGTTCTTCCATGCCATGTCCTATATCGATGCCAAATTTCATCGAGATCCATCAAGCTGTTCTGGAGATACAGGCATATAGAGGCATTGGATAAGGCCTACTTAATGATGATGATGATGATGATGATGATGATGATATGATGATGATGACACGTGTGTGTAACTGCGGCGTGTTTGATGTGTGCAGCTGAGCGGGCGCCGCCACGTTTCGCATTAGGCGCCGTGCCGCGCGCCGCAGCAGCGGGCGCCGGGCGGCGTACATTTCTCACGACGCTTGCCGCAGTAAGCTTTGCTAATGACGAAATTGTGTCCCAGCGGCCGCCTTCACTCGAACACATATTGTTATTATATTATTTTTGTTGCGTACAAATGTAACGTTATTTAAGACTGTTCCACGTTTTGTGTGTCTGATTCCCCCCCGCCCCCCGCCCCCTTGTATTTATTGTGCGTGCGCGTGCGCACAACCACGCCCCCGACCCCGCCCCCCGCCCCCTACGTGTAGTTGTTGTGACTTTGAAAATATTCTTTTCATTATTAAATTAATATTAAATTAAATTTAAAAAATTATAAAGTACATATTTTAACATTTTAAATGCGATGCTATTTATGAATGAGACGAGTTTTAACGTTTAAATTCAGATTGATATTATATACGTATAATTATTTATAAATATATATGTATACATATATATGTATGTAATTGACATAGAATTAAAAAAAAATGTAAATTCATTTGAACTAGAAATGTATGACGTTCAACCTTATAATGTATCCGACTAGATGTTTTAATTAACAATCGACCAAAATATCTGAAAGAGTCGAGTCTTAGCCGAGCATACACGAGATATAACCGCATTTATCCAGTGACCTTATTGACATCGCCTCTGACGGAGTGAAATACTGACATTTGTAATTTGACCTACGTAATTGTATTTAGTATTAATTTCTTATATAATATCTTTCTCGCACTCTGAAGTTGCCTTTCGTTTAAAAATGTCGCATTTAAATAAATTTTTATCATAAAAATTTCTCCTTTAGATTGAACATTATAGTGTGTAGAGTTCGGACGGCGATTTCAGAGTGCTTTTGAATAAAGTAATGCTTCATAGCCTCCTCTACGCTTCGATAACTCTTTATACGATGTATTACAATCCTTTTACTTTTTACTGCCAATATATTTTTCATAGATTTTAATTTTTTTAAGTATTAAATAGCTAATCTGGAACTAAAGTGGTCTATGTAACCTTTTTGGGCTACATCCATCTATCTTTGAACATAAAAAAGATAAATCCATGCTATATCTATCCTATTTTTTTAATACATAACGACTTCGGATGCATTTCGTTTGTTATCTGATTTTTTTTTATTCTGTTCCATAGACCACTTTAGTTCAAGGTTAGCCAAATATCCATTTTTTGACTAAAAGTTCACTTTTATTAGATTTAACGATCACACATTTTTAGTTCGTTTAACGTATTTTTATTGTATAGAACGCGTTTGCGTGCGGTGGCCCCCCCTCCCCCTCTCCCTCTGCCCCTCCCCCTCTGCCGGGACCTAGCGCCTAGTGCTTTCCCGGAGATTTGGATTTACTAAACATCTTTATCCCACCGCATTGCTTTTCATCGCGTATATATGCCTATGTTTAAATATTTTTATTTAAAAAAATACTTTTTTGAGGAAAATATAATAAATGATGTTTTCAAATATGCTTGTGTTTTTATTTTACCCTTAAATGAAAAATCGTAATAGGTCATTTGGGTTCTAGATAAAATCTTGTCATTAGACAAATGTAATAATCCAGTTATAGTAATAAAAATTAGGTATAAACTTCGGCATTTGAGATCAAATCGGAGCTATAATCTCGTATAAATTTGTACTTTGACATCTTAAAAGATGTCTACATCTAGGTGGGACTTATCAAATGTGAAATGTAATATCGTTCTGAACAATCACAATTTTTTTTTTAATAAATTGCTGAACATAGATGTGCAATATAAAATAAATTATAGATAATAAAGTTACAATATTGCATTGATACTGGTTGGTTGCAAAAAATCGATATTTAAAAATAACGAGTCTGAATTGTGATAAATAATTTCACATACCCACTTAATGTTTTTTATCTAAAACTTTATCCATCTACACGGAGAAGACGTACGTTACTTGTACCATTTACCTGTATAGATAATCGATAATATTATCACAAATCAAGATAAAAGAAATTTCTCACACTCTTACCAAACTTTTAGATATTTCATTCACTTACAGTGAACGTGTTCTTTAACTAAACCTGTTGAGTTTATTAAAATGTTTACAAAGTTTGTGTTATTTTCTTTATTAGTAACTTTGTGTGCAACAGACGATTGTGCCGAAGGAAATTGTGTTAGGAACAAAAATGCAAGGATGATTGGCGGCGGTATAAGTGAAGCTAATTCCAGACCCTTTCAGGTAAGTCAAATTGTTACAAGCCCGTGACTTCTTCCGTGCGGTATTATTATAAAAAATCTGAGTAAGAAGGCTATGTTTTCTACGAGACTGTTCTACATCTAGGTCAAATTTCAGCGAGATCCGATTAGCTGTTCTGGATATACGTAATGACAAACATCTATCCATGCATTCGTATATTCAAACTTTCCTTTATAATATTGGTAAGAAATAAGTGACTGAGTAAAAAACGTATGTGGTGTGTGTAGAAAACGAAATAATCATAAGAAATGTAGAGCACGCAAGAGAAGAGTCTTTAAGATTGGGAAAGAATATTCGTAGATAGATAGATAGAAAATTCAGAAACAGTATAATAAGATCTAAACTCTAAAAATAATAAAAAGTGCGAAATTATATTTACATTTTCCCGGAATGACAATGTTTTTGTTTAAATTGATAATACAATCAGGTCTAGTCTTTAGTTAGTCTGTGATTACAGACCTATAAAGTTTAAATCGTTTTAGATATGTTTGTTGGTATGTCTTATATCCATTGAATTCGAGTCTCTATGTATCATACAAGTGGTGATATTAAACAATTGAACGTGGCGTAGGTAGCTCTGTTGTTGCGTGTCGGTGTGAATGGTGAGCAAGGCTTCTGCGGCGGCGCGTTGGTACACGCTGACTGGGTGCTCACCGCCGCGCATTGCTGCTTCCACAACAACCAACAAGTCGACAATGTACAGGTAGATAGCGGATCATATGTCACATTAAATACTAGCTGCGGCGCGCGACTACGTCGACTATGGGTTGGGTTCTTAACTGAGACAATACGTTCAGTAAGTCACAATGAGGATATTTCTAAAAAGCCAAAGGGTTGTTGCTGAGGAAAAACTTGGCGTCCTCAAGTTCTATTTTCAAAATACAAAAAATAAACAAAGTAATACTTCCTACTACATCGTTAACAATATTCAAAATTGATATTTAAGACACAAGTGTTAAGGCTCTCAATCCTACGTACTGCAGGCGGTACTCGGCGCACACTCTCTGTACGACCGCTACGAGAACGGACGTCGCATTGTCAACGTGGCAGAAGTTGTACCTCATCCAGACTTCGAGCCTGACACCTTCACTAACGACATCGCACTTCTGAAGCTCGCCAACACTATACAACTAACTGGTGACTGGTTTTATTATAATGTACTAGCTGTCGCCCGTGACTCCGTTCGCGTGGATTTAACAAAATCGAATAAAAATATTGTGTTTACTATGGTATTTCTTTTCTTCAACATGGCATATTATTGGACATTCATATTATTAATCTTTTTGCTTTTTTACTAAAGAAAAAAATAAGAAAAATATTGAGCATTTTTTTTAAATATTAAGTTTCTCGAGATTCGATATGACTCGAATATTCTAGATTCTTCTTCAAATAAAAACAAAAACAAATCGCCAAAAGTATTTTTAAAATATAATGGATTAACTTTATTTATCAAGAACATCAATAATAATTTAAAATTTCAAAGAATTTTATCTGGTCAACGCGAACGTACGATACCGTATGCGACAATACGGATTAAATTTCGGATTTATTATCACAATTAATTAAATTAATCCACAGATAAATAAGTAAACATGCATTGATTCTAAAAATTACATATCACAATATTAATTTACAATATTTATTATATATAGGTTATCTTTTTTTTATAAAAGAAGGGGGCAAACGAGCGGCGGGAACACCGAGGTGATCAACGACACACAACATCTTTTATTTGTAGCTTGCAATTTTTGACATTTTATAGATACCATAGACACAGTTCGTCTGCCGTACCAGAGGATATCTTCGTACAACTTCGCGGGCATGGGCGCTATCGCCTCCGGCTGGGGGATAGCCGCGGAAGGTGGATTTTTAACTATATTTATAGTATATCAAATCCCTTTCCTTTTGTCACTTATTTAGGGTCCACAACGTGTAAGATAAGCTTACACATATCTCCATCCCATACACATATCATCTTTCGTACATTTTATTCATATTTTGTGACTTCAGACCCAAAAACTAACATATTTGTTTCCATAGGTACCAACTATTAAAGACGCTTAAGCTATATCCAATTTTTTATAATTTGTTCTTAATGTCATAAATTAAAGAAAATACTAATCCAGGTGTGACATTCGTATCACCAACGCTTCGTGAGAAGCTGATGACGGTGATGACGGACCCGCTCTGCAACACGTCATATTTCGGCCAGCTACCGGCCAACACTGTCTGCGGGTACAGCGGATTGGCCGGGACTTGTAAGGTTAGTCTATTGTCTATGATTATCTATATCCCATGGTCTATCACCGTGGGCCCTCTGGCGAATCTGTGCGTATAATAAACATCTATAAATGGACTGGCTATAAGGCACCGTATTTTGTGCCTATTTGATTTTCTCCATCTTGGCGCTGATAGTACGGTTTTTAGCGGTGGTGTGGATTCGATCTTTAATTTTCATTTTTCATTTATTGTTCGTTCTCTTCTTTTCCCTTGGATTTCATCAACGATGATATTCGTTTCTAAGAAGTTTAGATTATTAGAGAATCAATTTAAGGATATTTATAAATTTTAAACATTTTCAGGGCGATAATGGAGGTCCTTTTACAATCGTTTACAACGCAACTGAAGAAACTATTTTGGTAAGTATTGTGTGTAGTTATGCGGGCATATATTTTTATAGACGTAGAACTAAGTAACCAGTTTTAGTTGACCTTTTATATGTATTATTAACTACTAGATCGGCGTAGCTTCGTTCGTTGGTGCGGGCGGCTGCAGTGATGACGTGCCTTCTGTCTTCACACGCGTCCAGCGCTACTTGACGTGGATCAGTGACGTCACAGGAATTGTCATAGACTAAGTCCTAGAGCTGTAACAAATTTAATCTGTGAAAAATTTATTTATCAGCTACGGTATGACCTAAAGGTCTATGTTACCAGGTCATAAAATTAAAAAAAAAAACAGCTACCGTTTATAAGTATGATTAATTAAATATAAAAAATTATAAATAAATACGTATAAGTATCGTAAATATGATTTTTTTTATTAAAAATAGATTTATTTATGTAAACTTTGCAAATAAATTTGACTCATTTTACGACCTAACATTAAATTTGCAAGCAATGACAAATATTAGGTTTTAAACCAGTCTTTCCCAAAGTGGGCGATAACGCCCCCTTGTGGGCGCTGCAGGTCTCAAGTTGCAGGTAATAGTAAAAGTTTCGTTTAGAATTCTCCTTTAATATACATATATAGGTCACAATAATTAATTAATTTAATTTGAAGTTATAGTGGTTTTTAAATATGTGAAAATATGGGGGGCGCTAAAATAATATTTATTCTCAAAGTGGGCACTAGACAAAATAAGTTTGGGAACCACTGTTTTAAACGAAGGTATTTTTAGTGTAGGTAATTTCTTGTTACCTACCGAAAAATAGATAGCTGTTAAAATCATATCAATTTCCGGACAACAAATTGCTAACGCGACGGAAATTGACAGAACGATTGATTTGTTAAACGATAATAAACAAATCGCTATTAAAACTTTATAAATCGTATCTATAATTATTTTGAGTCGAAACTTTGCGTTGTGATAAACAAATCTGAAATTGTATAATGAAATCATACGCTTGTAATTAATCAGATAAGATAAGTTAATCTGGGATTAAATATTTGATTCGAATAATTTTGATTTGTTTTATCATATTGAATCGATATTACATTTGTATATAAGGTTGTGATGGAGTGTTTTGTTGGAAAGTCCAAAGATGGGTCCCCTTCTGTTCGCTCTGTGTTTGTTGGGTGGTGCTGCTGCGAGACAGCCGGTGGCACTCCCCTGGGACAACTACCATGAATCGGTCGGAATTCCTCTTGCATCGAGGATTAAAGAGGCCGAGAATGCTTGGATGTCAGGGGACTCATTTGGAACTAGAATCGTCGGTGGTGCAGCTGCACCTGTTAATGGCTATCCTTATCTGGTAATATATATTTTTTACTTAAATATTAACCATAGAGATATGAATAAATCTTTAGATTGAGTGGTATTTAAGAGACGTTCGATAGTGTATTCTATTTTCGATCTTTGGATACGTGTGAAAGTAATCTATTGAGCTTTAATAGAAAATGAAAAATAGATGTTTTATGTGATTTTTAAATGTAAATATCGTCCCTAACCTATAATATTTTATATGTAAAGTAAATCAATGAAGACACTCCAATAGATTTTTAGGGTACAAATAAAAAGTGTCTTCACTTATGTTCTAACGATTAGGTATATTTTTAAATGTATTAACTTTAATTACTTCGTTAATTTAGTTTGTCTGGTTTCTATCTAATACAATACGAATTGATCGTCTTTCTAGTTACGATATCGCGATAACAATTATTGTTCGTACAATATTAATATCATCACGTGCAAATATATCGTTTAGATAACGACGATTTATTTAATAAACATGTGCTTTTTTATTATTTTTAAATATAATTAAAAAGAACTTAATGACCAGTAGTAAATCTATAAGATTGAGAAATAAATGAAAAAAAACATAGGTTACTTTAAAGTATAGAAACTTTTTTTTAAAAATTAGAATAGGGGAGATAATATTAATACCTACAGTGAAAACTTGGGCTAAATTGAAATTTTATTATAAATCTTTATAGGCTGGATTATTGATCACCTTCTGGGACCACCCTGGCACCTCAGCGTGTGGTTCCTCACTCCTCTCCTCCAACCGGCTGGTGACTGCTGCCCACTGCTGGTTCCACTCGCTGCAAGCCAACCAGTTCGTAGTAGTCCTGGGCTCCCAGTACCTGTTCTACGGAGGCACCAGGGTTGCTACATCTAATGTGATTATGCACCCACAATACGTACCCAGAACTCTTCTCAACGATGTTGCCATGATCTTGCTACCTACTAATGTGTTTTTCTCTAGTAAGTGTTTTATCTATACTTAGTACATAATATACAGGTGATTTTTTTTACAGTCTTGATATACCTATTGTTTTTATAAGTGCAACACAATATATAGACGACAGTGTTTCAGAAATTTCGTAATCAAAATAATTACGAAAATTCTGAAAATCCATAAAAAACTAGGTATTTTGCGCATGGATAAAATGAGAGTTTCCTAGAAAAAAGTTTTTTTTTTACCTCGTTGTAATAAATACGTGATTTTCAGACAGTATCCAGCCGATCGCGCTGCCCAACAGCAACGAACTGTGGAACCAGTTCAACGGACAGTGGGCCGTCGCTGCGGGATACGGCAAGACCAATGACCGTCAGTATACATTGTTTATATTTACAATTGTTATAAAACCTATTTTAAGTAGGCAGGCGTTATTCGATGCGTATTGTTCCTCGAATTGTCATAGGTATTATGTAACCACACACATGTGGTGAACATAGAAAATAAAAATATTAATTAACCAAAAATTACATCAAATCTTACTTTCCATAACTTTTGTTAAGATATTACTCGGTTTTATTCGTACATCATTAACACATTAAATGCCGTAACCATGTGTCTGCCAGTGGGTTTGGATCCATAGGGCATGGGAAACAATTAGAATATGAAAAAACTTTTTTTTTGCTCAATGAGATGTGTGTATATTTTTGCAGAACAAGCTGGTGTATCAGTAAACTCGTTCGTCAGTCACGTGAACCTGCAGGTTATCACAGTGTGGCAATGCCAAGCTGTGTTCGGGACCATCGCTCAGCCGAGCAACATCTGTACCAGCGGCGCCGGCGGTGTCGGCATCTGCGGCGGTGACTCCGGCGGCCCGCTTGTTGTCAACCACAACGGACGTGATATACTGGTCAGTTACTTTGAATCTCTAATACAAGACCTACATTTAGGATATGTCCATTTCCAGTTATTGTACGAATTCCTTAGATTTGCAATGGATTTTAGAAATTTACGATCGATCGATGAAATGTAACGAAAATTTGATCTGCTTAGTCCGCCAACAAAATAAAACTATATTTTACTAATATTATAAATACGAATGTTTGGATGGATGGATGTTTGTTTGAAGGTATCTCCGGAATGGCTAGAGGGATCTTGATGAAATTTGGCATAGATGTAGAACATAATCTGGAAGAACACATAAGCTACTAATTAAGTTTTTTCTCTGACGGAGTCACGGGCGACCGCTAGTACAGATTAATGATACGATTTTTCTCTTTCCAGATCGGCATCAGTTCGTTTGTAGCGAACAACGGATGCCAGCTTGGCTTCCCGTCTGGCTTTGCTCGCGTCACCAGTTTCTACAACTTCATTATGCAGTACATGTAAATAACGATATTAAAACACGTGCTTACGTGACGGCAAACGAACTGTATTTTATTTATTTATCTCATTATATAAGATTTTTTTATAAGTTTATTCTTATTTTTTTTAATATACTACAAAATTAATTTAGCAGTTTTATTTTTCCCTTTAAAAGTTAAATAAATTGTTTTAAGTAAGTTAGATTTAAATAATAAAAATATTTGGATTGTTTTTAATTTTGTATATAAAATACAAGTTATCACATAAAAGATTTCTTTGTCTGCGTTATTTTTGTATGTAAACACGATAACAGCTGATTATATGTTTAATCCTGAATAATGACATTTTGACGACTATTTGATCTACATCAGTTTGTTGTCTCGTTAAGCGTTTTTTTGTTTATATCAATTGATTTGACTTAGGTTTGGTCAAAATAATCTTTCATAATTATTTAAAAATAACAAAATCTAATCTTTTTTATTCCTTATTAACCGCAAATATTGCTTTTAATACTTGTTCAGGAAAATAAAAAACTTTTTATTCAAGCTCTTTTATTTCGACCAGATTCCAATTCCTCGATGTAACAAGGAGTCGGATGTCCACATAGAAGCTTGTCAACTAACGCTAAAGCCACAGCGCAGAGTGCGCGTGCCTTCACAAATACCTACTACTAAATATTTATAAATATCACTTAAAACTAAAATTATACAAACTTGATATTTTCTCGATAAAATACCGAATGATCTGAGAGCCTAGTACAAATATTTGCGATACGCGCTTTAGTAACGAAACGATAAAATGTCGAAATATCAGTACGAGATTTGTTGGTGTATCTTACGCCGGGTAAAGCGCTGCACAATTTTTGGTAATGTCGATTACGTTACAACAAACTCGCGAATATTCATAATAGGCCCTCTGAGTATTAACCACAAATAAGTGTTTTACTACACAAATTTAAAATGTGCGACACAAGCTTTGACATGTACATTATATAATATTTATGTAAACCTCGATACATTTTGAAATTTAAAAAATCACAACAGCTTTACAAACAATCATTCAATTTTATCTTATTTTCTCATAAAATTTGATGTCAGAATTGTAACAACAAAATTACGATCGAGAAATAATGCGACTAGAGATATTTTTTTAATTCTTAACCTAATTTATGGTGCCCTCGATGAGTGAATATTATTAAAAACTATAAAAGATTCCTTTAACCAATAAAAAAAGACTAACTTCATTCGATGTTCCCAAAAAAAATGACAAGATTTCATAAGAAGAATTGTTACTATTTTTGTAACGAATTATTGAAATAATAAAATATGACAAAAGTGTAATAAAAATAGATATAGAAATAATTTTCTACAACTACAAAGCCGACAAAGTATTTACACGCCAACGCTTCAGTGTTACCCTATGAATTAAGCTTTGCTAAAATTTAACCCTGAAGATACAATTCCGGTTATATATTGTTTGAAAATAATATTTACATTATACAATGCCAAAATTACCGAAACACAATTTAATGGGTAAAAATATATTTTTTTTCTTAATAAATAAATACACAACTGCTTTTATCAACAAAAACATGTAATAATAAACCTAAAAGGAAGCATTAATTAACAAACTACCATAATACGATATCACAGTTCATTTATGCAAAAAGTAATTAAAGAATTGATTTTTTTTACTTAAAATATAAAAAAAATATATAAATAACAGTATGGCAATATTGACATAAACGGCATTATTGACAATAATCGGGAAAAATACGGTGCGGAATATGACAACATTAATTTAAGCATGGCAATGGGCGCGTTCATTTTAAAATACAATTAATTATCAATTTTTTTGATTGTTATATAAATAACAAAATCTTTTCAATATAATTTTAAAACAAAATTTTTAAATGTCCCTCTCCTCTTTAAAATATTAATTTATTTGTAAATAACGTAAAATATTTGAAGTTAGCACCATTAAAATATGAAAAATAATTAAATCTTTTCGGAATCCATAGACAAGTTGTGAATCGTTTTTTTTTCTAACAAGATAAATGTTGCATTTAGTTTTGCGATACTTAATTTTATTGAAATGGGAATAAATTTGGTGGATGTGTTAGAATATGTAGACGAGGGATGTGACGTCACGACCTAAGTCGGACAAAGCACCTTCAAGATGTAATCCGTTAACAGGGTCGGCACAGTGGGACTGTCTTCGTTTATTGCTTTTAATACTGGAAAAAACACATAAAAATTTCTATTGTATTTATCAATAACTATATTAAACTTCTCTGGTAACTTTACCTTAAAAATAAGGGTCGGCATAAACGGGCTACAGGTGGCCTTCGCGGTACAACTGTATGAATTTGTATCAGGACAATACTGAAGCGAGTGCACGCGTGTGCGCCGCGTACTAACTAAATGTATGAAAAATCGTGAGAACTGTCGCTGGCAACGAGTGGCTGTGATCGGTGGTACGTCTGTACCGAGCCTTACAAATAAAAATTACTTCAATCACCGAATTTTATAAAAAAATGCACTTACTTTTAATGAGTACCTGCAGCGACTGATTGTCCGGTGGTCCGTTCTCCAGCGTGAAGGGAATCACTGTCGTCAAGTACTGAAACATAACAGTTAATACTAAAATAATTACATAATAGTTTATATAATATTATTGCTAAAGTGCTTTTCTTACCCCGACCAATCATTAGTTTCTGAGGTCAAAACCTTTATGTAAAACATGTCATCGCTGTCATTATTTTTGACAAAACAGAGATAACGATGTGTTTAAAACGGAGAATTAGGTCTCAAAAATCCACGGTTAGATTTTAAGTAAACTTTTGTTAGTCGAATCTGTATGGAACACTTGATCATTATTCACTAAGGGAACACTTAAAGACTGATTAAGATAATGAATAGTCCAACAAACCTTAGGCGCAGAATTATTAGCACTGAGGTTGGGCGAGCGCGGCGGTAGAGCTCTCTTCTTCCTATCAGTGAAGCACTGCCGGCGCTTGTTCTGTACAGCCAGCAGCAGAGATATGAACGTGTTCTTCAGTTCCTTCTCGTACTCGAGCTCATCTCTCAGCGCCAGTTCCGCGATCAATGTCTCCGAGAACTCGCGGATCAGAACTTCTAGTTCCATGAAGATCTCGTTCAGTTGAGCTAATGACAGCTGACGGAGTTCTGAAAATAAAATAAAACTTAATTAGTAGCCTATGTGTTCTTCCAGACTATGTTCTGCATCTATGCCAAAATTCATCAAGATCTGGTCAGCCGTTGTGGAGATTCATCAAACAAACATTAATCCATCTATCCGTCCATCTATTCGTATTTATAATATTAGTAAGAGGTAAGATTTATCAGAATATTTTAATATATTTACACGTACAAAAAACAATAACCATATAAATAATGTTTAAAAATTAGGCTAACAGTCTGAAATATCGATAAAATTTATCGATACAATATATCGATAAATTAATCGATACAATATATCGATAAATTAATCGATACAATATATCGATAAATTAAGATTTGTTTACATTACAATATCTTGCAATATCAGACGTACAGAGTTGAACGTCCTATGAATAAAAAATGTAAACAAAGTGCGTTTTGTTGACGGAGAGTTTACAAAACTGTATGATTATATAATCTTCAAATTCATATTTATTCTTTAAGAATATACATTTTATTTATGTAATTTATTGCAAAGTTTTAATTAATTTAAAGCCTCGAGTACACTTCGAGACAAACAAAAGTTACTTCGAGACACTTGAGTTTTTTTACAAACGTGCTTTCAATATGAAGTAGGCAGGAGTTAAACATTGTCAGGATTTTGTTCTTACTTCGAAATATAAAAAACTACTTGAGTTTTGTAAGAATTCCGTATTAGTTGAAATAAGATTGTCGTAACTAATTATAGCTGCAATTTATTAATTACATTTTGAGTTAATTGAAGTAGAGTTAAAGATTTAAAAGTACAGACTTATTTAATTGAATTTTCAATTATGTATTCAGGGAAGTTTGTTGTGGAGTTATTTGAACAAAAAATATTCGCAATTTTTTATTTTTATTATTTACATTTTAAAATAAATTTAAAGAGATAAAAAGGGATCACAATATGGCGTTTTATGTTTACGTTTCGGCAGTGAAAACTGGGAAATAGTTACAGGCTACAATAGTATAGATTTACTATGTTCGCAATCCTATCCATAAATAGATATCTAATGTTATCGAATCTACAGTTTACTTGTAGGCATGCAGTTTTTCTTGCGAAGTTTTTAAGTATTTATCTATTTACGTCTGTAATAGTTGTCTCAAATATCCTTAAACGAATTAAGGTAAGCAATTCATATGGTAGTAATGCCTTGACTTAAATTTGTACGATCTAGGCGCTAGATACAATGAAGTTGCGACAGCTATAAGAGTTTAGGTTTAATTTAGGTTTTTAGTTTGTGTCCCATAGGTTTATAAATATGCGATTTTATTTCAAGAAGCGATGAGACAGGATGTAAAGGTACCACAGAGTCATGACACAAATCGTTGTGGTAACCACAAGCAATCTTTGTATTTTAAATGTTGTAACTTACTGTCCTCATAGAGGGGCGAGCTCAGCACTTCTTTGCCTTTCTCGAGCGCCTCGTTGTACTCGAGTATGTCACCCTCCGAGGAGGGCGTCTCTTGCATCATATCGTCGATCTCTTGGATTACCTGGAACCAGAGACGTACAACATATTATCAATAGACAAGACAATATAAACCAAACTTGTATCTAGGTAGTAAGAATAGTTGTCACTCTCGCATGTCAAGAGGAATTTGTTTTTTTAAATAGAGAGTTATAGGTACTGTTCTTTGAGACTGATTTTTGATTACCAACTATCATCAGCTCACTATACGTCCCCATCGAGATGCTCAGAGCCTACTCTAAGTTAAGGGTGATTAGGCCATAGTCAACCACACTGGCCAAGTGCAGGTTGGTTGACTTCACACATATCTTTGAATTTCTTTCACCGTAAGAACGTCGGATGTACATATGTAAATCAGAAATAAAAAAACAC